GAGAGAGAGAGAGAGAGAGAGAGAGAGAGAATATGCAGGAGTTTCAATTATAAGTAGAAACATTTACATGATGTACTATATATCTTAAACCACTCAGGTTTCTGTTAATGACAAATGTACATCAATATATTATCAGCCTTTTCTTCATGACCTAGTGTATAAAAGAAGCCCTCTTGGGAAGCTTCAATAACATCTGCCCACACTGTGTTCTTTTATATGGACAGCCCTCTTATGCCTTCACTGTTGTAGGCAGTGCATTTACACACCATTTCAACAGAAACACATCATTTTGTTCTTACAGTTTCCAAACAGGAAATACTCAAAGGTTTGCAAAGTGCTCTGTAATCAGAAACAATTCAAATTAAAGAAATAGGGATTTGCTTGTAAAATGACCCACTCTCTTTTCATCTTGTTCTTTAATGATTCTTATTATTTGCATGTCCAAGGTTAAATGTCCATTCAAGCTTATCCAGTTTGCTCCTGATATTCATTTCAGCCTTATGCTATGATGATGTGTTTTTAACACTCAGGATCACAAATCAGTTGGCTGAAGTTACTTTTTTTAAATTATTTAATATCTATTCAAAAGCAAAAACTTTAGAAATTGTAACACCTAGCAAGAACTGCTCACTGAGGTATTTGGCTCTCTTCCCATCTACTTTCAGGAAGATGGACTATATAGGAGCAGAAAAACTATGCTCCCTACTGGAATATAGCTGACACTCTACCCTACCACCAACAATTTTTCTGGCCCTTACTCTCTTATATATTGAAAAAAAAATCAAAGATAAGCATTTTCTAGGCATTCCTAAATTAATTTAGGGTTCATGCAGCAGTACATGATGTTTAATCACATAGAAATATTTTCCTTCTCAAATGATTATGCCAAAAATAAAGTCTTTATTTTTGCTAGTGGTGTTTTAAACAAACCTCTAATTTAACTGATCTCTTTAAATAAGTAAAGATAAGGTCCTAGGCTTGGGGTCTTTTCCAGACAATAAACATTTTGTTGTGGTTTAATTTTGTGTATGAGTGTGTGGGGGGGTGTGTTTCAATGCATTTATTTTGGAAAGTACTATCTACTCCGAGTCATACAGTGTCTATTTAAATGAGCCATATGAAGTAAATTTAAAGAAAATACTGGAAAAATAATATTTAAAATAGACATGGATTATAGCAAGTATGAAGGTAGAATGATACTGAAGAATTTTGGGAAAYAGTATATGAGGAAATTATGCACGGCAGGTCTGTTTATCATATCTGTGATTATTGTTATCAGGAGTAACACACAGAAAACTTGGAAAACTGAACAAAATGAGTATACACTCTACATTGTCATATTCATCAAACTGAGGTCCACTAAGTTAAAATAGGGAAAGGAAATACCATCAGAGATCTTTTTTTTTGTATTAAAGATATCATATTTCTATATTATATTATTCTTCTCAGGGGACCTTCTATGCTAAAGAAAAGTTATTTACATGTTTAAAGCCAGATTTAATTAGTTATGATATAAATTCAGCTGCTATTCCTTGTAATAAAATTGAAAAATGGCTCAGATATCAGTGTTAGTTTTCTATTATAGCAAGTACGTTAAGATAAAGAATAAAAAAAATAAATAATAATACCAATAATAAAAACCCTGGGATAAACCAAATTACAAAGAGAAAATGTTTATGTGAGCTCACAGTTTGGGGGATATAAGTCCATGGTCAATTGGCCCCATTGCCCTTGGGCCTGTGGTGAAGCAGCCTATGGTGAGGCATCCCATCATGGTGAGGAGAGTGTGACAGAACAAAACCCTTGCTCTATGGCCAAGAAGAAAAAAAAAAAAAAAACCAGAGAGGGAGAGTCAGAGAGAGAAACAGGAGGTTCTGGAGTTCTACCATCCTCTCAAAGAGAGTGTCCCCCAGTGACCTGAAGATGACCCACAAGGCTTCAATCTCAGAGTTTTCACCACATTCCAATAGCACCAACCTGTGGACTAAGCCTTTAATACACAGGCCTTTGGAGGATCATTCAGATCCAAACTATAACTGTATTGATAGTAGTGGTCATGTTACAAGTGGTCCAAGAAGTTCCAATTTTTCTCGTTGCTCTTCTTGCATTCCTGGTGCAGTTACAGGTTCAAAGATACCTCAGCACCCTGACTGCATCCTAGGCAACAGGATAAAGGAAGAGGCCAAAGGAAATACATCTCCTTTCTTTTAAGTGATATATCTTCATAAGGACTAATTTATATGTCCACATTTAAGTATAATAGAAACTAGTCGTCATGTGGTTCATTGAAAATCCCAGTGCTATACAAGAAAAGAATGGATGTTGATGGGCAAATTAGAGTCTTTTTAAAGCTCCAAGGAATTTCTCAATCCACAGAAAAGATGAAATTATCTTTCATATAATTTTATCATTACAGTACATTATGACACATTACTGTTCCATTGCCTACCAAATTAAACACAAACCCTTTGGGTTTGTGATATTCAAGTCCCTTTACAGTTGTCCACAATATAAAAGTATGGCAAAGAATGTTTGAAGTGGCAACATATTAAAGCTTTAAAAAACTTTATAATGGCACTGAATTGATCTGGGTGAGTGTGTTGAGCAAGATGAGAATTTCAGCATTTTTAAGAGCATATGTTTAGGGTTTATTTCTTGAAAATCTGAAAGGTATTCTTATATTTTTAGCTTTGCCTAACAACCAGCAGGTCACAGAAGGTAAACTTCAGACTCCTACAGAAGAGACTGACACTGACAAATGAAAATGAGGTTAAACGGAGTCATTATAAAAATCCCTCTGGYAAAACTTCAGAAAAACAAAAGTTAAAGCCAGATGCTTCTGTTACTTAGCTCATCCAATTTAAGTCTACTCAATATTTGAGAAAGCTCTAGTCTAAGATTCCATAGCAACTGCTCAAAGTTTTGGGAGTGGCAGGAGGCTTGATTAGCATTTGTCAATCCTGGGATATTTTGTAGGAGGCCCCCAGTGTCTTATAATTCGAGTTATGATAAATCCCTGAAATCTGTCCTAGATATAAGTCTTAAGTGATATTCATCAGATTGTCAATGAGAAAACAACTTCGTGACTTTTGGCATTTAGAAATCTTGTGACATGTGACAGACTGTTTAGTGGGATCCCTCCCAGAAATTAACATAGATGCCATTSCAATATAAAAGTGAAAATAGAGGGAAAACAATGATTAACAAAATAAAGTAATATGATTACTGATTGCTCAATGGTAGCAGAATATAAAAATTCAGTTTTATTTCAGAACAGAATAAGTTTTTATCCAAACATATATGACCTAACACTATTTCTCTTTCAAATCTTAGAACATCTTTTAAACGTGAATAATTCTTTCTATCTGTACCTAAACATTAGTGGACATGAGGTTKTCAGCTTAATTGTTATCAAGTACAGCTCTAAACAAAACAGAGAAAGGTGCTGAAATGTAATTCTTCTCTAGTGGAAGCTTTCCATTTAGTTTGCTTCTGATAATTAAATCTGAGGCATTGGCGGGGAGACACTAGACAGAGCATATGTCTTTGCTTCCAGACTAGTTACTTGGCAATTTTGTCTTCTTGTTGTTCTCTTTTTTTCTCAATCATTCAAGCACATTGCTTCCTTATATTCTCTTCTCCCCTGTTCTTCTATCTTTTCCCTCTCTCCTAGAGTCTAGCCTACCTCAATTAGTCGTATTCTTCTCATGGAAGAATCTTATAAATAAGGATCTTATATTCAACTTTGGATCTTATATTCAATGGGGGGTGGCTGGATTATTTTTTATTCCTACCCTCTCCCATCAACACTACCTTTGTTTTCTGACAGAGTTCATTTCATACTCATACTTGGTCATGTAATTTTGATTGCGGTGAAAAAAAATGTTCACTTTTATCATCTGGAGTCAAGTGTCTATGGGAAGCCAGGTTTTTAATGGAAATCTTCCTTAAAATCAATGTGGGGGCTGGTTCGTGTTTCTAAGTTAATTACTGTTTCTGGACATATAGTAGGATGACACCCTACTAAATCCATTTTCCAATAACTGGAAGATATGTTTAAGTCAAAAATGTATGTGACATACCTAACCTAACTTCATGTTTAGCTTGGCCCACCTCAACTATGCTATAACACATACACTAGTCTAGAGTTGGGCTAAGTAATCTAACACAATGCTGATTATGTAACTTGTTGAAAATCTCATGTAATTTATTTGATATTACTAAAAGCAAAAATGGGATAATTACATGGATATTCTTTCACACCATATTAAGGTTGACAAATCAAAAGTAAACTATCTTTAGACAGGGATTAGTTGTACACTATTAAACCTGAAAAAAGAAAATAATTTCAGTTTATAGCTTTAAATTCCCAGCTTAAGCCTAGGGAATGAATCCCTGCATTTCTTGGTAAAAACAAACAAACAAACAAAAATCCTTATGTCCCATAGCTGAAGGGTTCAGACTTTTTTAAAGATGCCCTAAAACCAACTCTGCAGGTAGCTAAATTATAATTTRCATAGAATTTAGAGTCACATATTCTCTGATGTTAAGGTACAGAATTGATTTGGGGGAAAAAATGAGACCCATGTTAATTATAATGAGAGCATCTGAGCATGTTCCAGAGAAGCCAGAGGCCTTGAACCACCCAATTCTACTGTGCTGCCTTTGTCATAGAACTAAGGAGATCAGACTTCTCTTGCCTAAAGAAACCAAAATGACCTTTCCACAATAACTGCCTTGCAGGGAAATTTTACTCCTGACCTATAACTATCTAAGAATCTAGGGAATTGGGCACTAAATATGACCTGGGAGCAAGTAGTACACATGCTAATTGCAAGGTTATGCCACTACAAATCAACTAAAACCTAAGGATCTCCATTGTAATGGATTCTAAGGTTTTAGTATCAGAAGAGAAGGACAAATCAGTTAGATACAAGGACAAATCTGGTGATATGGTGAAATTAACCATAAGTTCTTTATTTAATATGGTAACTGAAGTAGCTTGAAGTGGTTCTGTGGTTTTGACTGCTTGACTGAATTCGGAACCAAAGATGGTCTATGACTCTAGAAACTCAGACAGTTACCTTGAAATTCTGTGGCAAAAGTTATCAAGTGTTTAGGAAAATGGGACTGTTATGACTTCAGTATGTATGATCTCTTTACCCATCTTCGAATTATGCACTCAAGGAAGGTCCAGAGTACATCTCCTTTTTCAAGGCTTTGAGAAGTACACTAATGAGGAACATGCCAACATCTATGCAGACCTCTAATAACTATTCTTTAGAGGCTAGGAATAACAATGGAAAATGCTACTGTTATAATTTGTTACTTGAATTCAGTGTGGGATGATACAATCTCATTGTACTAGAAGCCAATTTTCAGGTCTTTTTCCAAAGTTAAGTTATCATAATGGAAAACAGATTAGTGTGAACAGCATAATCTTATTGATTATGGTGATCTTAGGTCTGAAATATATGAACAGCCTATAAAAGTAGTATTTTATTTGAATAATCAGAACAGCTCTCAGAAAAATGAACAGATATTTAACCTAGGCCACCTCAGTAGAGTCCTGGCTCCTCAAATTCCAAGACTTGAGCCAGTTTACAGACACAAACCCCCTGAATGCAAGAAGGGCTAGATTTTCTTGGGGAGGAATCTTCCTACATTGCCAAAATACATCTCATAATACTTCTTCCTAGCTTTCCTCGGAAGGGCTATGGATATTGAGCAAAGTTAATATGCCCTGGGCGGGGGAATTGAAACATCCAGGTTTTTAAGGAATTGTTGGACTCTGGCTCTAAACCAAATCTAGTTTGGGGGGCAAAACTTCACACTATGGAAGGCTTACGGAAGTCAAGGGATAAAGTTTTGGTTCATGTGTGTCTGATAGTGGCTCTATTATGTCTTCTACCTATCCTATGGTAATTTCTCCAGTCCAGAAAGTAGATTTGAAATAGACATATTTAACAATTGGCAGAATCCCCAGTCCATGAAGTAAGGGCTATTAGATTAAGAAAGGCTAATTAGAATCCTCTAGAAGTGGAATGGCTCTGAATTATGATAAATCTAAATGGATTGTGACTCTAATTTCAGTGACTATTCTAGAGAAGGGCTACGGAGTGGGCAAACAGTTTTCCCCTTATTTGCTGGCAAAGATCACCAGGAATGGTTTACTTTCAACTCTGTATTCTTCTGTCATTACTATAATTTGGATCTAAAGTATTTCTCAAAGGTCCGTGTGGTCAAGGCTTGGTCCCCAGTGTAGCACTCTTGGAAAGTAGAAGAACCTTTAAGAGGTCTACTCAGAGGTTTTTAGGTCACTGGGGGTGTGTCCTTAAAGTGGATAATGGAACCCTCT